GCTGCTCTGAGAGCTCTGATCCGTGCTCCAGTCCTGGTCCCAGCTCTGGCTGTCTGAGTCCCGGCTCCATGCTCCGCGCGCCTTGTTCTTCTTGGAAGAAGGCCCGTATCGTTTGGGCTGCTGGGATTGCTTGCCCTTTCCTTTGCCCTTGCCTCCGTTGTCCATCCCCTGTCCGCCCTGTCCGCCCTTTTGTCCGGGGCGGTGCCATTTGGCCGGCCTGTCCTCGTGGGGCTCCCTGCTCTCGGTGGTCCCCTGTAGTTGAGGCACCAGGGCCTCCAGCAGCTTGAGCTCGGTCGCCGCCGCTTCCACCTCCATCGCAGACTCGTCCACGGTCATGGCTAAGGAGAGGTCCTGTATCGGCCTCAGCGATGCGGGACAGGGCACCTCGGGCGAGCCTCCTGTGTAGATACACGCCAAAGAAGATGCCAACGCAAGACCGCAGATGTGCATCCTTGCGCTTGTACTCTAGGCCGCAAAATTGACACGGGTTGAGCAGACCGAGTCTGCTCTTTTTGATGTCCTCGGTGCAGGCATCGATGAGCAGGAGCTGTTCAGGGTGCATGGCCCGCATGTGTCTGCGAACGTAGGTGGGTGAAGCACTCCAACGGTGACATTCCGGACAGTGATGATGTTTGGTTCGGACCCCACTGTGCAGGGCAAGCTGCTGCCAGGTGCAGTTATTAGAGTATTGGAGGAGTTCTTCAGAGGCCACCATCGATTCGTTCACTGCCACCCGGGACTCTGTGCTGTCGGGTCCCTCGGAGAGGCGTCTGAGCTCGGGGCAGCTTAGGGTGTTGACATGGTAGAAGAAGGCATGCCATGTAGTGAACTCATGGAGGCAATGTCTGCATGTGGGCATACCGTTGAGGGCGTGCTCCATGTTGGGGGTGTTTCTGGCAGCGGCCACCTCCACACTTCTGGCTTGCTGCTGTTCCTCGTCGAGATGGGTCTCAAAATGGTGTTTCTTGAGGGCCGCAGCTGTGCTGAATTGCTGTCCGCACTCTTTGCAGTCAAAGACTTCATGAATCACATGATCGACCGGGACAAGTTTGCATGATGGTGGGGCTATCTCGACAGTGTGAAGCCAGAAGTGTTTGGCATCAAAGAGGTGCCCTCTCACTAGCCACCGCCACTGCTGCAGTGCAGCATCCGGCCTGAGCGTTTCAGAGAGATGTGAGTCCATGGAACACCGTCTCAGAAGAGCATCCTGAAGGCGCCTGACTGGATCAGGAAGTCGTAGGCGTTGGATCAAGGCCACATTGGTCTCCTTGGTGAGCATGCTGTGGGATCGGGCAATGGTTCGAGCCTGTGTGATTAGCAGAATCTGGAGCCTGGACATCTCCTTTGCCGGTACGCCAGCACTGTCAAGGCTGTGCAGAAGTGTGGGCCAAACGCAGCCCTGCCAAAGCCGAAGTCTGAGTCGAAGGGGGACTGTCTTGTTTCGCAGGATGACGCCGAGCCTGGAGTAGGTAGCTTTCGCCAGACGCAGCCTCCGGGTAAAGGTGGCAGTCTCAAACTTGCCATAGCCGATGACAGCTCCCAAGTAGACATGTTCTGTGGCAAGTTTGATGTGGACATATTCATTGTCTATCAGGAATCGAATGCATTGGCCTTCGGGTCTGTCGACAACATATCGGCGTAAAGTTTTCTCCGCCAGCGGGCCTGCCAGGCTGAGTATCACAACTGTTTTGTCGGTGCTCACCTGTAGCCCGAATCGCCTCAGTCCTGCCAGTACATGTTTCATGGCCTGGTGGGCGTTCTCCATGTCAATGCCTCGGAAAATGTTCCAGGCAAAGTGCATGTCGTCGGCATAGACAGTACCCGAATCTCCAATGGACAATACAGGCGGATGATCAAGCTGTCTCAGGAGCCAGCATGAGTAAACCGACCAAAGGAGTGGCGCGAGGCCACACCCCTGTCGCAGTCCTTTCCCAGTGGCAATGCAAGCCTCCTGTTGGCAGTGTCTCACACGAAGCTTGGCCTGGGCATGTATCATCATGATGAGCCGAATCATGTCCGCCGGGACCTGGGCGTCCTGCAGTGCAGCTGCGAGAGCTGTACGTGGAACATCATCATAGGCCCGGGAGATGTCCAGCGAGAGCTGACAGCCCCCTGCAAGTGGTTGTGCTCGGAGTCCTTGTCTCTTTTCGTGGACATTGGGGTGGCTGCCGTGAAGTCGGGACCTGGTGGCTGCGCAATGCGAGAGAACGCGATCGAGAGCCTGTGTGAGTGATCTGTTCGCCACGTAGGCAAATTGGGGGCAGTCTTGTAAGTAGGCCTCGGCATAGGCATGCAATCGCTGTGCGAGCATCGAGGCCAGGACCTTGGCTTGCAGAGGTAAAAGGCATATGGGTCGTAAGTGTGCCGGGGACCTCATTGGTTTGCCCGGCTTGGGGATCAGCACCAGGTCGGATGTGCACCAGGACTCCGGAAGGAGTTCCGTACCTGACTGGAGGTGGTGCTCAAATTGAGCCTGCAGGAGCGGAATGACGGACTCCGAGGTGAGTTTCCACAGTGGTGCTGGGGCTGTGCAGGAAGGGAGTGCTTTGCTTGCTTGAAGCCTCTGGAATGCAGCTCGGAACTCTGCCTTGGAGAACTTGAACCCCTCCCGCAGCGTGGAGCTGGAAGCAGCCGGCCCCCTGTACAGATCTTGAAAGTACTTGACAATCTGCTGGAATTCCGACTCATGTGTCTGAAGTCCGCCGTCAGCTGTACGAAGTTGGAGCCTGCGCTTCGGGGTTCTGGGAGCAAACCGTTTGGCGGCCTGGTGGATGTTGGCGCTCCTGACTGCTTCCTCGACTTTGGCCGTTTTTCGCCTGCGACATTCGAGTCTGAGTGCTCGGTTAGCCTGCTGAAGTTGGACGACCAGGTGCCAGGCTCTGAGGATGCCGGTGAGTCTGGGCCCTCGGTTGGTCCATCTGGCCAGCCTGGTGCCCGCCTTGTGAATCTGGTCTCGCAGGTTCCACATGCTCTGCACTCTCTTAGTGAGTGGGAGGTCTGCCAGGTCGCTGACGTTGGGCTTGGCCGTTCCGGCCGGCTGGGCACGCCAGCTGGCGAGCAGTATGTCATCTATGGACACGTCTAGGGAGGCGTGGTGAGTGCGTTGCTGCACCTCCAGCTGCAGAGCCTGGGTTCTGCTCGGGTCCTTGAGCTCTCGCCTGGCCTGCGCAGCAGAGAGGGTCGATTGTCCTTCATGCCGAGTGTGGGGTCGAACAGGCCTGGGAAGCAGAGCTTGCACTGGTAGGTGACGATTGCCGCTCGACGGGATAAGCGCAGGCCTGCAAGGTTTGGCTTGTCTGGCAACATCATCGCTGAGCTGTTGTCGGACGATGATGAAGTCTATCTGGGTGCCATGCCCAGTGTGCTCAGCGCCGTGCGGGAGGAAGGTCCTGGCAGGCGCCCCCTTCCTTGACCAGCTATTGAGGGCTACACAGCGATGTGCTCGCAGTAAGTCTTGTAGTTCTCCTTGGTCTGTTTGATGGATGGTGGATTTCTCGACGACTCCAGGGCCTACATAGGGAGGTTCACAGAGTACCGGCGTATTGAAATCACCGACGAGCGCACATCCGTGCCTTTGTGGTACTCCTCCAAGCCACCGGTCAACCAGTGTCCACAGGTGCTTCCGCTGCTTGACCAAAGCCTCGACGCGACATGTGCCATCAAACTCCTTCTTCTGAACGTTCCATGAGTACTGACACAGACACAGAAGGTCAAGTGGCACCTGAAAGAGCAGACGAAGATGCAGGGCCCGTCCTGGCAAAAGATTGCTCGATCTGATGCTATCAGAAGGCAGTAAGCCTCTGCGGATCATGCAAAGTATCCCTGAGGCGTCTTTGCCAGCACTGTGAACAACATGCCACCCCTGGTGGGTTGCCTCGGCCGAGCTTGTAGAGAACTCAAGGTCCTCCTTCCAGTTGGTCTCCTGGAGCACACATATGTCCACTCCGCGTCCAGCCTTGTGCTCGGCCTTGAGCCAGAGGATCACCTCTTGATAGCGCCCTGCAGAGAGGCCTCCGCAATTCCACGTGACAACGCGGAGTCTGCGCTCTCGTCCCTGGTGTTGCCTGTCCTCCCTGGACGGTGCTGCCGTAGAGGTGTGTGCTCCACGCAGTTGCTGGAGTGACATCCGCTTTCCTCGGTAGAAGGTTGTGTGATCTGCGTTGTTCTTGGCTCTGCCAATGGCACGAAGTAGTGCCCGTTTCCTCATCGGTCGGGAGGAAATAGTTCCGGGGCGATTGGTGTTGCATAATCCACTTGGCTTCGCCCTGTTGTGTAAAGATAGGCCTGGTGTGTTGGCTTCAGGGCTCCTGTAGTGGTCAGGAGGCCCAACCCTCGCATCTGTCATCGTTGTCTGGACGGTTTCGACAATGGATATGTGAATACAGACAATCAAGGTCGTGAGCCAGCGTATGACTGGCAAGCGATGACTCCGGGACTTGGGACCCGGACGGCTTGCGCTGGAAGTTCTGGGCCGCGAAGAGAGGAATAGGAAGGCTTGCGACCTGCGGCTGCGATCGTCATGGTCGGGGTGCTGCGTGCACTCCGGGTGGCCTCCGGTTGGGGGCGTAGAGGTGCTGTGGTCCTGTGTCATGGGCGGAGAGAGCTTGCATGTCATGCTGTAGACACCCCCGGAAGATGCAGAGGTCAGGACTCTGGCAGGCTGGATCACCTCCAGGTTCTCCGTGGCGCCGTCAGACCTGGACAGGACAACTGGAAAATTCGGCAGGAGATAGCCCAGCATGCACTGTAAGGACACCGGCCAGGTAGGAAATGAAGACCAGCTCTGGTACCTGGCTCGCCAAGGCATACTTAGCGTGCGGTGGGATAGTGCACGAGATAGAGCAACCAGCCCTCTGATGCAGTGCAAGATTTTCCGCAGCAGCGTCAGCACTCTTGATTGAGACCTTGCACAAGTGATGTCTGGGGGAATCCTCAGAGATGCCCTGACATGATCAAGACTCAGCGGGTGAGAGAGGCAACTCGCTAGCCTTTCTTTCAGCTCAGAGCCCTCAGGAGGGTCTGCTGCGCCTTGGGGGGCAGAGCTTTGGTTGGGAGGCCGGCCGGGGAAGCGTGAAAGGGAGAAGAGAAACCAAGCAACGCTAGACAACAGGACCCTGTAGGCCGCCCACTTCCTGGAAGCTCTGGGTTTGGGCATCGCTGACGAGTTCGTAGCCGGAGAAGGGGGAGGCGGTGCCGCCCTGGTAGTGCTGGAGCCCGAGCTTCTCTCTGATGTCATGGTACCCGGGGCTTCTGTGGTCTCCGTGGCATGTCCGTCAAAGTCCGCTAGGATCTCGTCGAGGTCCAGCCCATTGGGTTCAGCATCCAGCAGGGCATCCAGCTGGGCCTCCGTAAGCCTGCCTGTCGGCCGTGGGCTGCGGTGCTCCATCGTTGTCTCCCCCATTGCCGTGGCCTCCATCTCGAGATCCGCTTCTCCCGTGCCTGGGCCTTGATCACTGACGTGAAGGATGTCTGGGCTCAGGCAATCCGCAGGTGTGCCCCGTCTCAAGGTGATGGCAATCGAGGGAAGCTCTCTCCAGTTGTAGGGGAGGTAGGTAACCACGGTTCCCTGAAGCTGAAGCAGCGAGGCCACCGTGGAGGAGATCTGCCACGACAGATGCTGCAGGCTCTCATCCCGGGCTACCGGCATCGGTGGCGGGGGGCCATTTCTCGGTTCGTCCGGGCCTGGGTGCACCGTCTCGCCATCAGAGATGAGCGGGTCCTCCAAATCACTGCTGGCCTCCTCATCCATGTCTGAGCGCCTGCTGGGCTGGTGCCCCACTGAAGCTGCTTGAGCCAGCTGTGTGGACAACAACATGTTGTGCCTCCTGTTGTGCAAGGCACTGTTGATCGCTCGACATCCGAAGCAGAGTCCCTGATGCAGCAAAGCGTATGTGAACCAAAGTACTTGAATGGGGCACATGAGGCTGCCGTCGTGTGGGGCGGTGGTGGCACCATCCTGAAAGAAGGCCAAGTGAGGAAGTATGACCAACCCACCCATGACCAATGCTAGCACATAGCTCGGAACCCACAGTGACCACAGGGCTTCAAGAAACATGTAGCCGGTTCGGGCATATGAGGCTCGAGCAAGTCGATAGGCTCCACGCAGAGACCGGCAGACCATCGTGGAGGCGCGGACCTTAAGGAGGGGGGCCGGCCAGTCCTTAATCCATTTCGTCCAGCTCCGGGGCCTGTCGTATGCAGAGGACACAGAACATTGCCTTGCCGAATACAGCATCGAAGCCATAGACATCAGCCAGAACAGAGTACCGATCCGGAACCCGAAGCAGAAGCCAGCCCTGGTAGAGGATGATGAAGGCCGAAGCTTGATCCCAGAGTTGGTTGCATCGCAACCGAAACGCCAGCTGCAGCCTGGGGCATTGTCGTTGCCACCCAGAGAGGTACACTCGCTGTTCCACGGCTCTCCTGACATAGTCCTCAAGCGGCGCCGGCTCTGTGAAATTTCTCGGGATCTTGTTCCACCCGTGAATCCAGGAGTCCAGTGGAGCCATGGCATCCCCAGGGCCTCTGAAAGGTTACAACCGAACAGCAAAGTCCGCTCGTCTCTGGGCTTGCGTCGCCTGCAAAGAACCCCGAAGAGCCCCAGAAGCACAAAGAGGCCCCAGGGGGCAAGATCAAAGAGGGCCCTCCGGGCCCAACCAGTCATTAAGCCGAGATGCTTACATACATACCAGTACCTACATACATACATACATACATACATACATACATACATACGTACATACATAAATACATACATACATAGATACATTACATACATACATACATACATACATACATACATACATACATACATACATACATACACATGTACATAGGTATCTGCATATCTAGAGGCAATACCGGCCGCAATAGTTGGAACAGGGTGCTGGGGCCAATTATTCTATAAAGTCTATAACTACATAGGAGGGTGAATACTATAGCGAATAATTTGGGCGTGTCGTCGGCTTTCAGGTGTACCGCTTTCTCTGGATCTGGTCTGCGGGAGCTTCATGTCAGGGCCTAGTTTTCGAAGCACAAGGCCTGGGCTTTAGGGGGTCTAGGGTTTAGGGCTTAGGGTTTGGGGTTTGGGGTTTAGGATTTAGGGTTTGGGGTTTAAGGTTTAGGGTTTAGCGGGGAGGCTTAGAGCCAAGACATCGCAACAGCGAAATCACTCGGCACCAGGCTTGTCGTGATCGGGCACGACGCCACCAGCATCTGGCACATCTTCTTGCCTCGACAAGGAGCCAACATGCTACCTAGCAGCCCTAACAAAGGGGTCCTAAAGAGTTGCCTGTGCTATTTTGTGGGTTCCGTATTATATATATATATATATATATATATATTATGGGCACCAAAACCCTGTTCTAATTATTAAGGCCCCTATATTAGCCCCCCGTCACACACCTGGCCTGTAGGCTTTGGTCTTGGGCCTGGGTCCAATCCGGATAAAAACAAATCTTGACCCACAACGTGGGCCGCCTCTGCTGGCTGTCGTTCTTCCGCTCAACCTCCCGAACCCTCTTCTGGAGCTCCTCCCTGAGACGCTCGAAAGGCGGGACAGAAGCTTCACCCATGCCGGTTTAGCGTAACGGTGCATGGTAGAGTTGTTCTCACAAGAAGGATTGGATAAACGTCCAAGAAGTTGGAACCCGATCTAGCCCTCAAACTCAGAGCTCAAACAGTGGCACTGGGCCGGGGGCTTCTTCTGATCGGTTGGGACAGCCACGCCATCCTTCCCATCTTGCCTTGACACGGAGCCGACATGCTATATCCACCTTTCACCGTGCGATCATAGCATGCGAACTCGAGTTCTCAATGCAAGGGCTTCACCCCAAGTCTGCTCCGGTATGGTCAGCGGCCAATTATGCACACAAACCATCATATCCTGACCGAGAAAGTGGGCCGCCTCTGCTGGCTGTCGTTCTTCCGCTCTGGCTCCCGAACCTTCTTCTGGAGCTCCTCCCTGAGACACTCGAAGGGCGGGAAACAAAAACTTCCCTGGGGCTTCGATGGAAAATTACATCCAACTTCTCATGGTCCCAGTGTCTAGCATGGCTGGGCTTGTTCTTACAAGAGGGCTTGGTCAAGCCCTCAAACTCAGAGCTCAAACAGTGGCACTGGGCCGGGGGCTTCTTCTGATCGGTTGGGACAGCCACGCCATCCTTCCCATCTTGCCTTGACACGGAGCCGACATGCTGCATCCACCTTTCACCCTGCGATCGTAGCATGAGTCTGGTCCGGTGTGGTCAGCGGCTATGCACACAATCCATCAAATCCGGACCGACAAAGCGGGCCGCCTCTGCTGGCTCTCGTTCTTCCGCTCTGGCTCCCGAACCTTCTTCTGGAGCTCCTCCCTGAGACATTTGAGGGGTAGGGAAAACACTTCTCTGGATCTACAGCTGGGAGATGCCGGCTATGACGTTCTCCAAGAAGTGATTGGAGTGTCGAAACGACCAGAAGGCTTCCAAGTAGTAAAGCAGATGTCTACGGCGGGAACCATCAAGAAGCCATGTTCTGACGCCTTCCAAATAAGCCCGTGAACTTGAAGGGCCTTCACGGGCATGGTCATCCGTATCATCTTAAACCCAGAAGCATCCTGACTTGAGTGCCAGATGGCCCCGGAAATCGACTTTCCAAGCCGTTCTGCAGTGTCCGTCGACCGTGCTGGGCTCCAGGCTTGTCGTGGTCGGGTGGGATCAGCCGGCCCAAGTTGGACGCCCGTGGGGCACCTGGGCATTGGGAAGCACGTCGGCAATTGCCGCCCTCTGCTAAGTGTGACTGCCTTTCCGTAGTTCTGTAAGCGTACTACGTCTGCGTGTGGAAGACAAGGCGAGAGAGGAGGGAGGGAGGTAGGCGCAGTTGTTTGCACACGCGGGTATGTCAAACAAACGAGACAACGGTGCTGTTGTGTGTCGATTTCCTGTTCTGAACACACCTACTTCAGCAAACACACATTTGCAGCAAACGGACATGCATGTGTGCATGTGCACGTACGGGAAAACGGTGAGTGGGCACATGTTCGTGTATGTATGCATACATACATACATACATACATACATACATACATACATATACATATATATATATATATTATATATATTATATATATTATATATATTATATATATATTAT